GCAGCTGTGTGACCCTTCCCGCTGTCACCGCGCCCTGGCGTGACCGCGCTGTGCGGCTCAGGCCCTGGCTGGGGGGCACTTTCCATGGCCTGTGGTCTTCCCAGGAGCCATTCCCAGTCTGGGGAGAAAGTCTCTGTTTGGTGACAATGAATCTTCAGCAGGTCTCTAACACTTGCGAATGTTCCCGGAGGGCACGCGGGGTTCTCTGCCCCCCACCCTACCCCCTGCGTTGTAGCTTTAAGTGAAAATTAGGGTTTGGCACTGGTGGCTCAAGCCTGTCATCCTAGTGACTCAGGAGACTGAGGTCTGAGGATCACAGTTCAAAGCCAGCCTGGGCAGGAAAGTTCACGAGACTCTCTCTCTCTCTTTTTTAATCAGTCATGGGGCCTGAACTCTGTCCCTCAGCTCTTCAGCTCAAGGCGAGCACGCTCTACCACTTGAGTCACAGCACCACTTCTGACTTTTTCTGCTTATGTGGTGCTGAGGAATTGAACCCAGGGCCTCATGCATGCAAGGCAAGCACTCTACCACTGAGCCACCTTCCCAGCCCCAAGTTCGTGAAACTCTTATCTCCAGTGAACTACCCAAAAGCTCGAAGTGGTCAGGTGGTAGAGCGCTGGCTGTGAGTGCAGAAGCTCAGTCAGACTCTGACTTCCCACACACACAAAGACTTTTTTTTTTTTTGGTGCTGGAAATCAAATCGAATCCAGGTCCCTGCAGGTGCTGGGCAAGTTTCCTACCTTTCCTACCTGCCAGGGTGTCATCTTGGGACAGCCAGAGGACACCCAGAGGACACTAACCCCAGGGCTAAGCCCTAGGACTCCGTGAAAAGCAGAAGCACCGCCCAGCTGGGCTTTGCCCCAGTGTCTGACCCACAGCGGGTGAGAAGGGGAAGTGGTGGTGCCGGGCGGCGTTGTGCGGGGAGGTGCAGGCCGATCTGGGCTGTGGGAGGGTCTGCGGGAGACCCCGGGGCACAGGTGAGGGGTCCTTACTGCCGTGGCTGGTGGCCGCACGGCCTCTGCGGAGCCCACGCCTGGGGTTTGCACGTGTGGAAGCCGGGCCGTCGGGCCGCCTCCGGTGGGCTGGGTCTAAGGGAAGGGGACTCACTGGGGAGGGGACTGGCGGGTGGGACATCAGGGTGATTCTGTTTTTTACAAAACCCCCATTCTTCCAGTAACACAACCCCTCCCCCCCACGGCCCAGGGAGGGGCTCGCTGCTGGGGGTCCAGCCCTTCCCCCTTCACAGGGGCGTGGCCTGCCACAAACGGGCCCTTCCACACCCCCCTTTCAAAAGAAACTCCCCGCACTTGAATGACAAATGAACACTTATGGGCTGGGCGAGGTTAAGCACACCTGTAATCCCAGCATTGTGGAGGCTGAGGCTGCAGGGTCACAAAACAAAGCGCTAAGTATTAGCACTGGAGAGATGGTCCCCGGGAAGATACGGAAGATACGGTCACCTCGGCTGCTCCAGGCAGCACGACACCTTAGCCTAAAAGCTGATAAAAATAAAGGCTGCTGGGTGCTAGTAGCTCACACCTGTCATCCTAGCGACTCAGGAGGCTGAGATCTGAGGATCAACGTGCAAAGCCAGCCCGGGCAGGAAAGCCCGTGAGACTCTTATCTCCAATAAACCACTAGAAAACTGGAAGTGGTGCTTGTAGCTCAAGTGGTAGAGCGTTCACCTTGAGCTGAAGAGCTGAGGGACAGCGCCCAGGCAGTTCAAGCCCCACGACCGACCAATAAAGAAAGGCATTTGTGAAGGGGCACAAGGTTTGCATAAAAGTTCTCCAAACTTCACACACTTTATTTTTTTGGATTGGCGCTGAGGCTGGGACTTCAGGTTTGAGTTCTTGCTCAGCTTCTCCACACCCCCACAGGCCTAGACTCTACCCTGTGAGCAACACCTCCAGTCTAGCATTTTGCTGATTAAGTAGAAATAGTCTATCAAATCTTTCCTGGCCAGGGCTGGGAAGGTGGCTCAGTGGTAAAGTATTTGCCTCGTATGCATGAAGCCCTGGGTTCGATTCCTCAGCACCACATAAGTGGTAGAGCACTCACCTTGAGCAGAAGAGCTGAGGGACAGCGCCCAGGCCCAGAGTTCAGGCCCCAGGGCTGGCTTTCTGCCCAGACTGGCTTAGAACAGCGATCCTTCAGAATTTGGCCTGGAGTTGCTGGGATTTCAGATGTAAGCCACCTTAAATCCCGGTTCTGAAGGCTGGGAGTATCCAGGGCGAGACAGCCCAGGTGGGCCTTGCAGGATACTCCAGGAACCTCTGCGCGCACGCGCGCGCACACACACACACACACACACACACACACACACACACACACACACACACACACAGAGCAGGGATCCCTCTCTACAGGTGAGTCTCCAGGGCTCAGTGGCACTGGAATATGATTGACTGCTCTAAAGATAAGTCCCGCCCACGTGGATGTTCTGAGCTTGGGTCTAGCTCCCATCAGCCCTCCCTACCTGGAGGAGCCCCGGGGGGAGCCCCAGAACACGGTGATGCCCATGCCTGTTTTCAAGGCTTCACTTGTGTGGACACAGCAGTCCCCCCCCTCCCATGCTAGCCCCTCCCTCAGCCCTACTCCCCCCACCCCGAAGAATGGGAGGCTCAGGCCTCAGAGAGAAAAACGGAACGCCATAGAACAAGAGGAAACTGCACGGGGCCTTTGCAGACATCTTTGAATCATTTTAATATCTTTCCGAATTCCAGCACATCAAATCGAGGTTCCCAGGGTACAGGAGGAAAAGCAGGAGTTCGTAGGGCAGGATGTGCACAGCACACACATAAGTCATACCGGACTGGTACAGGTTCCCCATCCACAGACAGGCTCTGAAGTGGGGCCCAGGGCAGAAGCCTCAGACCCTCACCAAGCAACGCGAGATGTGCAGCCCCAGATCCCCGGAGCGCCACTGGCCAGGAAACACACACGTGGTCAAGGACAGACTACAGCCAGGAGCCTCGGTGGCTCCGTGGAGCCAAGACAGGAAATGGCCTCCGAATTCCCCGGCTCTATGATGATCAGTTCGCTACTATGTCAGATACAAGCACACAAATCATCCTCCCAGCCTGCCCCCCACAAACCCCTTCCCTCTCCTTCCAGCCCCCCGACAACACAAGCCCTCCGACCACGGTCTTTCCTTCCCACTCCTGAAGCCTAGGACCTGGTTTAAAACTTAGAAAACTTGTATACTCAATGGAGTATACAAGTCACACTGGTGACCCCAGCCGCTCAGGGGACCGAGAGCCGAAGATCACAGCTGGAAGCCAATCCTGGGCAGGAAAGACCCTGAGACTCTTTTATCTCTAATTGACCACCAGAAAGCCTATAGTGGAGGCATGGCTCAAGCAGTAGAGTGCCAGCTTTGAGCAAAAAGGCTTAGGAACAGTGCCCAGGCCCCCACCATCCCCCCCCCCAGTTCAAGCCCAGCCACTGGTACTTGCACACGCACGTGCGTGCACACACATTGTATTTCACGGTAAGGTTAAAAGACTGTAAACAAGTTCAGATGTGTGGTCCGGCCTCAGTGGCTCTCTACCAAGGCCTTGACTTAAGAAAAAAGTATTTTAAGTAGATCAATTTGCATTGGAACAAAGAGTTTACAAAAGGAATGTGGAAGACAAAAAACCGCCCATCAGCCTCTCCAGTGTCGCAGTCAGTAGACTCCATAAAGTTAATTCGGGAGAGCGTGCAGAAAACACCCCAGGAGACATGCAGGGCATTTCTGGGAGGAGGCTAAGGTCATTTTGTATCAACTTTAAGAAGTCATTCATTCTTTTTTTTTTTAAACATCAGGGACCTGAGCCTCTACCATCTTAGCCTGGCCCGCAGGGGTTACATTTGTAAAATATATAAAGAAAAATATAAGGTTACTTGGTGACCATACCGTACACTCCAACAGCTGTCTGTAAATATTTTCACCATGATTCTCTGTACTAAAAGTAAATCACGGGGTAAAGATAGCTCAAACATGACAGTGAGGGTTGAAGTGGGCTGCAGCCCCTTCTCGGCACGGTGCATAAGGACCGACAAAAAGCTGCTGGGGGCAGCACACCGCTCCCCAGGGACCCGCAGCAGCTTGCTGGAGGCCCCCCCGGGGCTCTTGAGGTAGATGGTGGATTTGTTAAGGAACCCCCCCTCCAAAGCAGCTCCCCCAGGGGTAAGGGGGCACCCCCCACGGCTGCAGCAACCGGGGAGGGTGTGCGGCTAGGCCAAAAAAAGGCGAACAGGAGTTTATGAAGTCAGCTAAGGGTCCCTTGCATCTGGTAGGTTGAGGAAGATTGACTACAGGGAAGTTCAGAGGTCAGCCCCGGCAGATCTAAAAACAGTGGCAGAAGACTTTGACTTTTTCTATAACTGAGGTAAACCGATCTGTCCCCCATTCACAGACGGGGAGGGAGCGCCGCCCCAGGTCCTCGGGCTGCTCCAGGACGGCTCCAGGCTTCGGTAGGCACTGCCCGGAGAAGATGCCAGGAATGCTGAGATCTGATGCCACTATTTTTCTGACACACAAAATAGCAGCACCCTGGTAGCAACGCTTTGCTTTCTCACGCGCCGCGGCAGCCTCGGACCGGACCTCCCGTCGGCTGGGTATCCCACGCGCTGGGGTGCATGGCGCTGGGACTCAGGCATGGGCCACCACGCCTGGCTTCCTGAGGTTTTGGAGAGTTAAGACAAACCCAGCAGTGAGATCACGCGTGCCCCGTGGTGCTGGAAAAACCAGCAACAAAAAAAAACCATTTTTGTTGCTGCCACTGGTTGGTGTTTTTTTTTGTTTCGTTTTCTTGTCTTTTTCCTTTTCAGAAAATTACAAAACACTCCCCAAACCATAAATAATTTGGTAGCCATATATACACATTTAAATAACTTAAAAAATATCTTACACCTACTCTTGCATTAAACTCTGCATCCAAAGAAAAGTGCTCCTTGTGGGGGCTGCTCCCAGAGGCAGAGAGAGCAACGAGCCAGTCCGTGGGGGTGGGGGGTCACAGCCTGGGGAGGAAGTGGGTGACCTTCATGGTGGGCGACACCCGATTCCCCTTCTTGGTCCTCCCGTTCTTGCTGAGGGCGATGAACATGCCAGCGTGGGCGTGGGACTCATAGGCGTTGTAATTGTTGGGGAGAAGGATCTCCTTGAATTTGCACTCGTCGGTGAAGAAGGGCTGGGGAGGGAGGGACGGGCGTAAGCCGGGGCAGAGCTGGGGTCCCGGCCCCTGGCGCTCAGCTCTCCCCTTGGCAGGCCGGGTGTCAAGACGCTCACATGCGAGGGACACATGGCCAGCTCACAACAGCTGGTGCGGCCACCTGCCAGGCACCTATCGGCCGGGCTGGTGTCCTTCACCTCCGCTGCGGCCTGACCACCGGGTGCGGGCAGCCCCTTCGGCTGGGTGGGGGGGGAGCCCGCCCCGCGGTGGCAGCAGGTGGCTCCCTTGGGTGTGGACACTTTTGGGGGTACAGGGCGCCTCAGTGGCCAGAGCGCTGACCTGGGGGGGGCGATCACTGGCAGCCTTGACGATCCAGGCACAGGTGGGGGGGGCGGGGTGCCCATCCTGACCCGGAAGTACTCACCGAGCCGTAAAGCTTGCCTTTGCTGCTCATAGCCACGAAGAACCGGCTGGCCACACCAAAGATGGTCACGATGCCTCGTTCCACTGGGGAGAGTTCCAGCAGACCTGGAGGACGGGGAGCAGCTCAGACGGAGGCCGGGGAGCCCGGGCCCGCCCGTTGCCTCCACCCCAGTCCTGCGAGCTTCTGGGGGCCC